TCATATTTACCATGGAGCCTAATGTTAGGATGGCTGTGGTCTTTGCAGGGTATGTACATGTTTTACATGATATATGTAAGTGTTGGTTGATAGGGAAACCTAATACATTTGGGACCTGATACCATCATCCTCCATAAAAGCAAAATATTTTCCCATCCAGAAACCAAGCTGGAAAACCTCTCTCACAGTTGGTTTGGAGTTTAAAATCACAGTAATGGCTGCAAAGATGGCCTGTTGGTCCAGATAAGACCAGAGCCAACCTGACACCTCACTGCAGGATTGGTCCCTCTTCCAAAGTCCTGTTAAGCATGTGGGTGGTGTTAAGAGCATCCTTCTGGCAGCTAAAATGGACAAAGAGAACGGCCTAATGGTTAGAGAAAACCTAGATGGTACAGCAAGAAATGCAGTGGCTGGACCGGCCAGATGAGACTGCTGGGGGCCAGCAGGATGGCTGTCACAGAGTGTGAGATGTTTGGGTTTTGGCAAACCCTAAGAAGCTGGCTGCCAAGCTCCACCACCCCTTGTCCCCCTGGTGTATTTCAAAGGAAATTAAATCCACATGTTTCTGATTTTTGACACTTAAAGCTCATCCAGAGGTGGTTTTGCAAGAGTGGTTTGGACACGAGAAGCCTAGAGAAACTTTAATTATTATTGTTTTTTTCATTTTGAAATGCAGACCTGTATGCTTACATAATAAGTGCCATGCCTACAGAATTGGAGCCCAGTTCTGCCTTACCCAAACTTTTTGTCCTGGGCCCACCAGAAACAGATAATTGGAGTCAACTAGAGAAGACAAACGGTGCCTCTAATATCCAATCTAGAAATCCACCTTGAAAATGGCACTCTCAATGATCCCTTTTGATTGGACTGCACTAGAACTGCCAAAGCTAAGAGCTCAAACATACAGGCACAGCGTGGACTGAGTCTATAGATTCAATTACTTCCTCAGACTCTGGCCAAGGGGACGAAAACCTAAATTCAAGATGGCATCCATCATACATCCTGGGAATCCGGGTCCAAGGATGTGGGGCATGAGGCCTCAGGGACAAGGAACCATCGCAAAGGTGTTCTGTGGAATGTTCTGAAATGTCCTGCCATGTACCTGAATGTAACCTAGACAAGCAGCGACCCAGATTCTACACTTAGAAAGAATTAGTGTTTCTGGACGTGACATGTGACCTCTCCAAGCTCAGTCACCTGTAAACTACTGGCCAGAGAGATCCAGGACCAAAGGGTCCTCCTCTTCTTAACCCGGGATTAACATTTTCGGTTTCTCCCATCTCTTTTTCTAGCCACTGCATGAAGCTTTTCCTGAAGATTCATCTCAGAGGCAGCCTCCTCCACTGCTCTGAGCTCTCCTGACCGAAGTCATGGCTTTGTTCTCTCCGGCTGTTCCCACCTCTTCCCCAGCCCTGGGCCGTCCACTGCTTGGTTGGCCGTTCACATGTTGGGCTCTGCCATTGGAACCCCCCAGCCCCTAGCTCGGGGTCTGGTACAGGTAAGTGTGCCTTAAATCTGTGATGGATGAGGTGGTGAATGCTGAGATGAATATAACAGCTCAGCCCTCCCCCAGGTCCTCTCTCTGCTGCTGGTGGTGGATTTCTCTGGACATGCGGGGTACATTTCTTGCTCCCTCTTGCCCAAGAGCCTTCACATGTGCTCCCCTCTCCCCATTTTTTTATCCAAGTAACCTTGCTTCGCAGGTCAGCTCAGATGTCCCTTTCTCAGGGAGCCTTTTTCTTTCCAGCCCAGGTTGGGGTGCCATCCCCAGGGACGTGCCTTCTCCCCACCTCAGCACACTCGATAGAAATTCATAGTTAACTAATCAAGTACAAGGTCATCCGCGCTGCCTCCCTTCCCACCAGACTGCTGGCTCCCAGAGGCCAGGAACCAGGTCTGTCTCCCTCACCGTCTCCCCAGCACCTTGCCCTGAGAAATCGGTGCTTGTTCACTGACCAACTCCTCAGCCTAGAGCTGCATCCAGCCTTTGCCACCAAGACGGCTCATGTCTGTGAACTGCAAACACTAAGAACAATGAGAGGGTTTTCAGATGCTTTGAAACCAGTACCCACTTGAATTCGTTTGCAAGAGCTGCCATAACAACATACCACAGATGGATGGCTTAGAACAGCAGAAATGGATTGGCTCAGAGCTCTGGAGGCCAGAAGTCCGAGATCAAGGTGTCCCCAGGGTTGGTTCCTTCTGAGGCTGTGAGGGAGAATCTGCCCCTGGCTCTTCCTTAGCTTCTGGAGGTTTGCCGGCCATCTTTGGCACCCCTTGCTTGTAGAAGATCACCCCAATCTCTGCCTCTGTCGTCACATGGCATTCTCCCAGCGTGCACGTCTGTCTCTGTCCCAATTTCCCCATTTTATAAGGACACCAGTCATATTGGATGTGGGTCCACCCAGATGACCTCATCTTAAGCTGGTCATCTACAAAGACCCTAATTCCCCAATAAGGTCACTTTCACAGGTACAAGGGTTAGGACTTCAACATCTTTTGGGGGAACACAATTCAACTTATAACATCACTCTTCGGGTAGAGAAATAAAAGGCAGCTTAAAACTGACATTGAAGTATGGTAACTATTTATTTATAGTCCAAACTGGGATGTTTTATAAGAATGAAAGGGGGGTACCATTAATAATTTTGCAGGGACAACGGGCATAAACCAGGACTGTCCTAGGCGTGCAGTCTGAGACTTATGGCCTCCGTCTGTGGTGAGGTTCATTGTCCGGCCTTTCCCAGGCCAGGATGCACTGTACCTTCACTTCAAATCCCTCTTTGTTTGTGTTCCCAGCAAGTCCAGTCTGTTTTATACACAGACACAGCAATACTGAGGGATTAGCTGTATTCCAGCTGTAGTTAATTCACTGTTTCCAGTTAGCAAATGCAAGCCCAATCTCAGCAATTAATTTGGCCAGATTAAATCAGGCCCTCTTACACCTGTTCCCCTGTTTAATTAGGCTCTAATCTTCCCAGGGGATTGGAGGCACCGGGGACATTGACCTAAGCCTTGGATTAGGAGGGCAGCGTCAGACACCCCACCGTCACCATAATGGGACACCCCTGAAACAGCTCCAGCCCTCCAGTCCAGAAATTCGCCTTGACACCTGTGATCCCCCCAGCATGGCCGGGGAAGGATCCCTTCCTTTGTTACAGACCTCCTTTCATATCCTCCCAAGGGAAGGAAACGCTCCCGGTGGTGCCTCTCTCTGAGGTAATTGCTGGACAGGAGTCAGCCAGTTAAAGCTGCCCATTTAATTAACAGAGTCTGTTATGATCTATCGGGATAATGAGGTGGGGAAAAAAGACATCGATTTTTCTTTCCCTCCCTGATATTCTGGCCTCTTTTCTTCCTTTTGGAAGATGACCCAGCGTTAATGAGAAACGAGTCACTTATTGTTGGGGTGCAAATAGAGAGATAAATGACATCAGTAATTAAGTCTCAATCCCTCTTTGGTATACAGAGTCATTTGTCAGGCAATATTATTCAATTAATTAATTCTATTAGGGCTACCACACTTCCCCAAATCCAGCCATTCAACCATCAGCAAGGATAATTTGTATGGCACAAAAATAGAATGGTTAATAAATGGATATTGAACCCCCAAAGAAAGTATTTTAGCCACCACAGGAAACCTAGCTAGAAGCATTTGATTTGAGAACATGTAAAGTGCTCACAGCCAGCCATGTACTTCTTTCCATCAAGGATTGGACAAACATTCTGGCTATTTCTGAGTTCGAATGCCCAGAAGGAAAAAGGGGGACATCGGATTGGTCCAGCTCATCTTCTTGCACCATATCAGTAGTCATTATCAAGGCCTCTGGTCAGCCGCCCATCTGTGGCCAGAGACGGAACAAGATGACATGAAATGTGACTATTAAGGGCCAATTCTAAGGACAATATGACGGGAGGGAACACTTCCAGAACAGGAGCTCCCAAACTGTGTGGTCAGTTGGCCTGCTTTCTGTCTTCTCTCTGCCCATCCATCTCTCACTGCTCACAAGTTAATTTTGTCTCCGTTGACGCTCGTGTTAATAAAAAGCAAGCCCACATTCTCTTTGATTCCCTTACTCTTTCCCCTCTCCTTTTCAACTCTTGCCAACTTGTCTCAGCATTCTTTACCTCCCTCCTAGTGAGAAATTTGACTTCAGAAAAAGATAAATTAACAGTCCAGAACCACGTTTAAGACAAATCTAACGAAAGGAATTAGTCTCATGACATTCTAAAGAGAAAGGCCAGCCACTCCGTCATAATCTTGACAAATCCCCATTTACCTCTTCATCCGCCTCCAAATCAACCTTTCCTTCCACCACCAATATTAGCATAAAGAAAATACTATCCCTGTTTCATTTATTGCCCTATTCTGTTTTGATTGGTATCTAATGCTACAGGTGCATCGCGATCTGCCCTATTTCATTGTGATGCAGCAATATTTCAGCTGGATTCAGGATTAAATACGCTGGCATGGGAACATATCTATCACTCCCAGGAAGACAGCTCATATTCCAAGCAGCTGACTTCCAAAGTCCAGAGCATAATCTGTAAGTTGGGTAGCTGCCTACACAGTCCTAGCCCCTTTCTGATCTCTTGGCTAATCAAGTAATCTTTTGTTCCCTAAGCCCATTCTCCGGGAAGGAGTGTGAAATCAATATTGAAGACCACCAAAGCTCGAAAGCCAGGGTGTGAAGGGAAAGCCCCGGGGCCATGGTTTTCAAACTTGAGCCGGCATCAGAATCACTTGGAAGGCTTATCAGAACAGATTCCTCAAGATCTGGGGTGGGATCCAAGAAGTGGAATTTTTAACCTCCCTCATGTGGAAATGTGCCTTCAGAAAAAGATGGTCTCATCCAGGGGTCAGAAGTACTGTATTAGATCATACAGGTACAGGGAGGTAACTAGATTTTCAGAATCCCGAGTGTCCAGCCAACAACCTGGCTGATGCAAAGGCCACGCTTCCCTGGAATGGATCATGACAGAAGCAAAGAAGCCCTCCCTGACTGGGTCTCCTCCACTTTTATTTGTAGACAGACACCATGCCTCGAGTGAGATCAACAATTTCCTTCTAATAGGCCAGCATCACTTGTAGTTTTATAATTAGATCTAGTAACAGTGCAGAAGTCTCCCAGGGTAGTGGGATTTCTGAATGTTTCTGCACTGTTTGGTTTTGTTCTCTGCTTCTCCTCGATGTCACACGTACTCACAGCTGTTCAACAGGCTTGACACGGCTTAGGGATCTTCTCCTACTGTTCTTCGTGTAAGACTCAGGCACTCATGAACCTGTTAGAGCTGGATGGGGACCTGACAATTCTAATTTTACATGCCATGATTCCAATGGCCATCTGGTCCAGGGCTTCCCAGACTTCTCTTTGAACCCCATTCACAGACATAGAGAACCCAACCAATCCCTTAGCAGTTCGTCTTCTGTCTTCATTCTAGTGTATCCTAGCATCTTACTGTACCCTGGGTTCCCTACAGAAAGCAGAGCTTTTGTAAAGGAAGGTTATTTTGGAGAGTGGTCCCAGCAGACAGGAGTCAAGGGCAGGAGGGAGTGAAGGGGGGAGATAAGGTGGCCATGTGGTCTATCACGTCTCTGGCAAGGACCCTCTAAGAAGCTGTGTAGAATGCACATCAGAATTTTCAGCCTGATGGAAGAAAAAGAGAAGCATTAACCCATAGACTCCTATTCCCTTTCGGAGCGTTGTCACATGAAGTGCTGACACCCTCACAACTTCCAGGTTGCACACACATGTATATCAGCATACCGTCCCAGAGGAGGCCAGGGCTGAAAGGGAGACACAGGGTGCAGCTGAAACAAGGCACCATCGGGTTGCACCTGCACAAAGCTGGTTCCCCAGCAACAGCTGGCATCAAAGGTGGGCCAGAAGGTGAGAGACATGCACAGAAGATGTCCAAGATGGTGTACTATCAAAAAGAAGAAACTAGGAGTAAAAAAACATGTTTATATTTTATCCACATATACTATAAATCTCATATTAGTATAATCTTTAATATTCAGCATATTTAAACATTTAATTAAATGTGAGGATTAACATTGGATTTCAGGAGTGTGTCTAAAACCCAGAAACCTTCCAGTGTGCCTACATGCCCTATTTCTAGAAACTTGTACCATTTCTGCACCCAGTGTCACTAGGAAACACTGACTAAACAGTACGTTTTATGATCACCACCATCAAGGCCATCAGATACAAGGAGGAAGTGAGTAAAAGAGTTACTTTGTGTTAGCTGTTTGGCACTCACATTAAAATATAGGTTTGGAGCATCAAAACTTGCTTTCATGACCTCATGTCTGAAATTCTTATATTTTGTGCTTAAAAAATCAACTAGTCGCTATTTATAATCACTTCTGTATGATCGTTTGTTCTTGATTAAGTGAAAACCAAATTTAGACATAATTGTCACTGTCTTTTCTTTCTGTAACACTGTTGCTGAGGTCCAGGGGCCTCTTCAGAGGGACAGATTTTGACGCAGAAAAGACCATCTTTAGATAAAGTGAACATTATCGTCAGGCAATTTACTGAATTATTAACATGAATTTCAGCATCTGTGTTGCTAATGCTTCTAGTCTTTAACAAATGATCCATTCAGGATATGGACCAAAGAACATATGGCGAAGAATAAAGGCCATTGGAAACCGTATCAATACCTCCGTTAGAAGCCTTGTGGTGGGAGCGGGGTATTCAGCTCCCCGTGAAATCGGCCGAGGCCACTCCAGAGCGAGCATGCTCAGTCGAGCCCCCCTCCCTGCCGCGCATGTGTACATGATACCCACCCGCGGGCTCTGAGATCGTTCTGAGATGAAAAATAGAAGTATTTACATACTTTCTAAAAACTTTCTCTCACTGAAATTTTCAAAAATATACAAAGTATTAGAATAATGGGCCCTCAAATACCTCACCCACCTCGATTATGGGCAACCTTAAATACGTTTTCTTTTAAAAAAAATTTTAACAGGCATCATTTTTGCTTCTAAAGACAGGAAACCCGGGAAGATTTTCATGACCCCCTGAGGGTTTGTGACCTGCTGATTCTTTGGTTCACTGACCTCGTTCAATCCTCTCTTTATACAAGGGAACGCTCTGCGTCTCCCATTCTCTCTGGCTATCTCTCATGCTTGCAGCCAATTAAGTGGACTCTGTCTATGATTTCAGCAATGGTGACATATAATCCCAGTGTTAAAGCATGGAATTTTCCAATGCAAGAAGCAGCAGAAAACGAAGCGAGGAAACGTTGCCATGAGCAAAGGCTTCTCAACACAGTATCTCCAACTGCGCTACAAAGCAACCCAGCTTTTGGATGAAGAGTGAGGAAAAAAAAAAAAATCTGACAATGGAGTGATTGTTCTCCCTCCACAAGCAATCCTACTATTTCTAACCCCTCCATGAGCTGTGCTGGCAAAGGCAGACATCGCTTAGGTCTTCCTCAAGTGGCCGGTAACCCCAAAGGCAAAGGGGAAGGGACCCATTGTTTCCAGGAAACCAAAAGCCCACGGCAGGATCGGAGCCACCACGACCTTTCCTCTCCAAACAAAGAGGGGGGACGAGCAAGGCGCTACTCACCTGTCTCATTTGTTCAAAGAACCCAAAGCCAGCAACATGGATCCGTTTCTTGCTTTTTGTCCAACCACTTGCCTACTACTAGAAAAACAACCGAGGTCTGCCAAGAATCTGCAATCTTCTGAATCTCAAAATAATGACTAGCCTATCCAGCGTTTCCATCCAAGGAATTGTTGGTTCCTATACAAGAAAACCCTTTGGGGTGAGAGTCAGGAGTCCAAGAAGGCATGTGGTTATTTTTTGCCACACTCTGGAAAGAAAGGGAAACCTATTTTTGACATCAGCTTTCGGATTTCAAATAACATCAGCCTGTAAAGCATACCTAATTTAAATGTTGCTTCCAAATTTTACTTTAAGGTTTTTTGGTCTCCTCTAAGCTATTGCTTCAAGCGCACACACACACTCTCACACTTACATTCTCTTTTCTTGGCATATCTGAGCAAAAGTTTTAGAATAGGATAAGGAATTAACACCCCCATTTCCATCTGACAACTTTCATCTTTAAAAAAATAACAATAAACAGGAGTGGAGAGTTTGATTGCTTCATTCAGCCTACAACGCTTCTAAGTCTGGTCATGGCATTCGAGGCAATGAGTCGTTAAAGAGTATGTTTATGAGCTATGATGGGAAAACGAGCTGCAGAGGGGTAAGAGGGAAGCAAAGGACTCATACAGTAGTTTTGGAATATTCCAGCAGGTGTGTGAGTCATTACATGTCAACCCTGAACTGAAGGCAGAGATCACACATGAAGTTCACTGAGGGTTTGTGAAAACTAATAAGGATTGTAATATCGTTGACAACCTAATCACCCCATTTGTATACAGACACGAAAATGACTTCTCCATGTGAGGGCCCCTTGCTGGAAGGGAAAGCCAAGAATATACGTTTCATTGTTTTATAAAGAAAAAAAATTATATATATACATATATATATATATATATATATATATTTCCAATACTCATGAAAGCATTTGCAATCCAGAGTTCAGCTAGCCTTTTAATTGAAAAACAGAAAGCTACACCAAAATGATTCCTAACATGAAAGAATGGAGTTGTTTTTGCCATTAACTGATTTCAAAGGCAAAGAAAATTACTTTTCTTCAGAGATGTTGGTTTTTATTGTTTATCCAAAGTAAAATAAAATTACAAAATGAAAGCAGCTTTCCCTGTCCTCCTCGTCTCTGCTCTACCAGCCACCCACCTTCTCTGAACCTCTGGAGACTGTGGTGGATGCTCTCTTAGGCTACCACCTTATCTTCCTCTAGCCATTTGTGGACAGGTCTTCTCACCCCTGGCAGCCACCTCGACCTATCATTGTAGCCCCCTACAGGGCTTTAAGTAGGAACTTAATCAGTGTTGTTGAGTGACTGAATGGAATGGATTTAGTAACTATAAGATTTAAGTCATGTTTGTCAAATTAACCTCTTTCTATGAAAATAGGAGAGATGGAAGTGAAAGAAAATAAAAGCCACAGTTGAAGGTTTAGTATCAAAGTTAGACATGGAAATAGTAATGCAAATATTAAACTAAAAGGAAACAGAGTTAGAACCCCTATTGGGTTCTATCGGGTGAGCAGCCTTGCCAGTGGTGCCTGGGAATGCTCGCTCTAGGACTGAAATTCCCACATCCCAGGAGACCACTCAGTCCCAGGCAAACCTCGAAACAGTTGATCACCCTGCAGGCTATCAATGACTCTCAGAGACCAAAATTCAAATGTTGACTTAGTTGGAACTCAGCAAGATCTCAGAGAGCTCATCACAAATGCACGATACACCCTACCCACACCCCACTGTGAGTCTCCATCTCAACCCACCCCCGTTTACTTCCTTCGTTGCACTTTAAAAATGTGATTATTTTTGTTTATTCATTTATTGTCTGCTCTCCCTACTTAATGTGAGCTCCATGTGGTCAAGGGAGTCCTCTAGCCTGTCTTCCACTGTAGCCCTAGAACATTTCCTGGCAGAGGACATTCAAGAAATGTGTCTTACATGGAAACAACCTAAATGTCCATCGACAGATGAATGGATAAAGAAGATGTGGTATATATATATATATATAATGGAATATTACTCAGCCATAAAAAGAATGAAATAATGTCATTTGCAGCAATATGAATGGACCTAGACATTATCTTACTAAGTCAGTCAGAAAGAGAAAGATAAATATCATATGATCTCACTTATATGTGGAATCTAAAATATGACACAAATGAACTTATCTGCAAAACAGAAACAATCTCACAGACATAGAAAATAAACTTGTGGTTGCCAAGGGGGAGGGAGGGTGGGGGAGGGATGGATTGGGAGGTTGGGATTAGCAGATGCAAACTATTATATACAGAATGGATAAACAACAAGGTCCTACTGTATAGCACAGGGAACTATGTTCAATATCCAGTGATAAACCATAATGGAAAAGAATATGAAAAAGAATATATATATATAACTGAATCACTTTGCTGTACAGTAGAAATTAACACAGCATTGTAAATCAACTGTACTTCAATAAAATAAATTTATAAAAAAGAAACATGTCTTAGGGGCAGAACTCTCCCAAATCATGGAATCTAACAAAATTGCTGTATTCTACTGATTCTAAGATATACAGTTTTGCAAAACTTAACATCTCTGGAATCAGGTGCATCTGAGTCAATGGTGCCTTTCAAAAGCCATCAGCCACCTGGCGGTCATGACATGGAGGCCATGGCCTTTGTGTATGCATTCACTTGGTCATAGCTGTTTACACTGTCCTCACTTCAGCTGAGGTATGTGCATCTGTTAACTTGTGCACTTAACTGTCATTCAGAATGTCGTCAAAAAAATTTTCACTATGATTCAGCATTGAAATGACAAGCTATTTTGTACTCAGAAAGGCACAGAAGCCAAGCAGTAGGATGTCAATGTGATATTAGTGAAGAGCACTTGTCATAGAGGAATGATCATAAGTCCACATTTTCTTGTAAAGGAACAACCAAGTGCCTTAGAAACCGCAGGAAGGAAGATACCCACAAAGTCAGGGAAGCTGTGTTACTTTCTATTATCAAAATATTTGCTTCATTGCCAAATCCTTCAGAAGAGATGAAAATTAATTTCAAAGGAATCTGATATGATTGATTCATATGTCTCTCGGGACTGTTGTTAAAGGCACCTGTCATAGTCTATTGGAAGTGATTTTCCTTTCTTATTGGTGCATAAAATAATGGTAGAGCTTACAATCAAGGGCATCTTAGACCTGACTTAATGAAATGAGGTATTAGCCTCTCCCAATCTTTTATTCAGGTCTATGGATCACCAAGGAGAGTGTTGGTACATGATAGGGTCAGTGAAGTGTAGCAACTCATCCAGCCTGTGCAACTTTTCCAGAACCTTCTGGTGATTGAGTTCTCTACCAGCCCCTGCTACTGGCTGAGCAGAAGGGCTCTCCAGTTCCAATTCCAACTTTAGCTTTCAGGTCTCCATAAATTTCCCATTGGAACCCCTCATGCAAAGTACCATGTGTGCTTGCTCAGTTCTGCCCCTCACCCGAGACTCCCTGTTAAGCCTGAATGATTCCCGTTTGCATTATTGTCTCAACACTGCATCTACCAAGTCTTGCCCTACAGGGCATGAGAAATCTCAAACACCAATTCCCACGTGTACTTTTTAAAAAATTAACTAATTTATTTACTTATTTTTGGCGGTGTTGGGTCTTCGTTGCTGCACGTGGGCTTTCTCTAGTTGCAGCGAGCGGGGGCTACTCTCCGTTGCGGTGTGTGGGCTTCTCATTGCAGTGGCTTCTCTTGTTGCAGAGCACGGGCTCTAGGCACATGGGCTTCAGTAGTTGTGGCTCACGGGCTCTACAGCGCAGGCTCAGTAGTTGTGGCGCATGGGCTTAGTTGCTCCATGGTACATGGGATCTTCCTGGACCAGGGCTCGAACCCGTGTCCCCTGCATTGGCAGGCGGATTCTTAACCACTGCGCCACCAGGGAAGTTCCCATGTGTACCTTTTTTGGACAGTTATTTACCATTTTGATGACAACAGCTGCATAATTCTGGAGAAACGATTTGTATATTTAACTGTGGTCCCTCTACAGGATGGAAGAAGGAGATGCTCAGAAACAATGCAGGTGCCACAACACAAGACAGGAGAGTCAGTGGAGAGGGTCCAGGGCATAGTTATCAAAAGTGAGCATATGTTGGGTTAAACAAAATGTGTCCATTTTTCTTAAAGTCTTTAGAGTCTCTCAATGCATCGTTTTATGTTTAATAAGTCATTTCGTAGTTCGTTCATTCATTTATTCTTTTATTCTCCAAATAACTGAATGCCTACTGTATGCCAGTCCACTCTACTAGGCTCAGGGCATAGAAGGATAAACAAAAAAGAGACACTTTTCTACACAGTATATAGCACAGAATGGTTTTTAACCTAGAGCCCACAGACCCTCTCCCAAAGTGGTTCATGAACTTGGATGGGAAAAAAGTTACAACATTGTCTTCACTAACCTCTGACTGCTGGAAAACACTGATTTGTCTCCATCACTATCATTTTAATTTTTCATGTAAAATTCTTCATAGAATTTCATTTAAGTGGAATCATGCAGTATGTAGAACTTTTGAGATTGGCTTCTTTCACTCGTCATAAAAACTTCAAGATTCATCCAAGTTGTTGGGTGTCAGTAGCTCATTCTTTTTTATTGCTAAATTGAGTAGTATTCCATAGGGATGTACCACAGTTTACCCATTTATCCACTGAAAGACATTTGGATTGTTTCTAGGTATTCTTGATTATGAGTAGAGCTGCTATAAACATTCACGTACAGGTTTTTGTGTGAACACACATTTTCCGTTCACTTGGGTAATTCCCTAGAAGTATGATTGTTGGGTCATAAGCTAAGTGTGTGTTTAGCTTTATAAGAAACTGCCAAGTGGTTTCGCAGAGTAGCTGTGCAATTTGGCCTTCCAAACTGGCGACATATGAGAGTCTCAATTGTTTTGCGTCGTCCTGAGCACTTGGTATTGCCTGTAGTTTCTAATTTTCACCATTCTATTTTGCCATTCTAGGTATGTAGTTATATCTCTTCAGGAGTTAATTTGCATTTCTCTAATGGTCAATGATACTGAGCATCTCTTCATGGGCTTATGTACTGCTGGATATTTGTCAATATTTTGTTGAGAATGTTTGCATCTGTGTTCATGAGAGATATTGTTCCATATGCTTTCTTTTATTGTACCATACTTCTCTGGTTTTGGCATCAAAGTAATGCTGGCCTCATAAAATGAGTTGGGGCGTGTTCCCTCCTATTCTATTTTCTAGAAGAGACGGTATAGAATGCATTGTATTTCCTCTTTAAATATTTGATAGAATTTGCTAGTGAAATCGTCTGGGTCCAGGGATTTCTTTTACAGAAGGTTTTAAATTACAAATTCAGTCTTCAAAATAATTTTAGGGCTATTCAACTGATCTATATTTCACCTTGAGTGAGTTTTGGTAGTTTGTGTTTTTGGCAGAATTTGTCCATTTTATCTAAATTGTCAAGTTTATGACCAGGGTCTGTAGTGATAACTCCTCTTTCATTCCTAATACTGGTAATTTTTGCACTCTCTTTCTCTGCAGTCTCTGTATAGATTTATCAATAATATTGAACTTCTCAAAGAACCAAGTTTTAATTTCACTGATTTTTCTCTATTGTGTTTTAAATTTTATTCAGTTTCATTGCTTTATACTCTTACTTCTATTATTCCCTTCTTTTTGCTTGTTTTGGGTTTATTTTACTCTTCTTTTTCTAATTTCTTAAGGTAGCAGCTTAGGCTGTTGGTTTGATACCTTTCTTTATTCTAATATGAGCATTTTAATTGTATAACTTTCCCTCTAAG